CACACACACACACACACACACACTCATGGACGTGCACACAAACACACATATTATACATATATACAAGCGCACATTCAAACACGTATTTCCCAGCTACAAGCCTTCGAATATTTAATATGTCCAGAGTTAATAGAGGCTGTTGTTGGTACGTTTTCTTTTGGGAGTGTTGTTGTTTTGTTGTTGTTGTTGGTGGTGGTTTTTGTTTTTATTGTTGTTATTTTTTGTTGTTTTGTGTATGCTGAAGCTAAGTCCAGTGTTGTGCCCTTGGGAAAGGCACTTTACACTAATTTCCCATTTAGCTCTGTCCTTTCGGAGATGGACGTTAAACTCGAAGGTCCCTCCTCTTAACTTAATTGTATTGTTAGGGGCATTAAACCTATACCAATTCACCATTTTTCTGAATGCTGGATGGTTGAAGGGCAGACATTGTGCTGCCATATTTTCTTTTAATAATGACCATAAAGGTTTATGTACTATGGTAAAGGAGGTGGGTGGCGTATTGAGTTAGATCTTATGGTGAGAACTGGAGAAAGGGAAGAGGAATCTTTATTTAAAAAGAGGCGAGGAGAGAGGATTCTTCACCAAAGCTCCCAAGTTGTAAACACGTCGTCGGTCTGGTGTTGTAGTCTCTATTTGCGTTGCAGTTTGTACCATATGTCTTCCATCATCTCTCACTTCCTCCAGCTGGGAGTACTGTGGAGAAAGGTAAATATTGTTATTTTATTGACACCCACGGGCCGAAGCCGCTTCGTTACATCGCCAAAACGGTACCTCCATTCGGGGGCGTCTTTCGAGTCGGCGGAATTGAGAGCGGCGCCCCGCCCACCTCTGTATGTCTCGAAGTCCGAGTCCAAGGAGCTGTAGGAGGGCCATGGGAGAGCTAGATTGTTGACAGGGTTATGGACGGAGGCTGGATTTATGGTGAGCTGGGTGATATAGGAGGGAATAGTAAGACTCGGGGATACTGTGAGGAAAAGGTAAGAGTGTAGGAAATAAAAAGAGAGAAAACAAAAACGATAAAAACAAAACAAAAAACTCCGAAGGGGTCGGATATACCCATGAGAATAATATTACAGGAGGGGTTTTTATTTCTTTTTCTAAAAATGCCCAAGTAAAAGTAGGGGTTATAGTGTTTATTTCTCAGCATATTTCCATATTTTAACATCCATTGTGAATCATTTTGCTGTTGGAAATTTGATCGCCCGGATGCTATACCGTATACGTCATGACGAGCGAAACATTTTTTTACATTATTTATTTTAACAACGAGTCATCACAACAGGAGAAACAGAAGCGACTATAAGAACAACAAAATAGCCTACAACTACATCATAATTTATACAATAGTATGTTGACGCCACTAAACCATTAATTTGCAGAAATATCGTCGCCCCAGACATATTTTGTTCAAAGTGCCTCTTTGCTTAAGTACAACGATGTTCAATTTAGTCGTCATGTGTTGCTCATGTCGCTTTTACGTAACTGAAATTGGCTTTTTAGAAAATAATTACAAATGTTGAAGGAAACAAAGCAGCACGGGGCTTTAGTTTTATGGTTTTAGAGTGACATAACATCTAACTGTTTTCAGCGTAGAACAAGAGTTCAGTTCAGTAAATAAATAGACCTACTTGAAGAAACAAGAAAGACAGACACCCCATCCATAAAGACGCTTCAAGGAGTTACTTAGTCGTCTACGGCAGTCATAAATAACTCCACCTCAGGCAGTGAGTGAAGATCTCGCGATGGAAGGCGAATGTGCTGCGAGAGCCGCTCCCCGCAGGGCACACCGGCACACGTGCTTTTGTTTTGACCCTGAGTCGTTTTAACCCCGCACGCCGCCTGGGCTAATGCGAATTTGAGGGTACGTTACGCATTGTTGGGGGTGAGCTGGTATATTGTTCGCTTGTGGGCTCACTTCCTCTAGGAGTCAGGCAACTAAATAAAAGCCTTTGTTTGCTGTGCGCTCAGTTCCTTCGGGGTTTCGGCAACAACTATATTAATTAAAGAAAAGCCTTCCTGGTATAAATAGGTAGGCTTATAACATAAAATGAACAGTTGTTCGAATTGTGTTAAATTTTGCGAAGAAACGTTTTGAGCAAATTTTTAAGCCCAAACGTGCATTGGTGCTAGCAAGAAATTATCTTGCTTTTGACTGGTGTTACTGCACTAAATTAATTTGGTTAGCACGCTAAGGTTAGATGATGTTGGCACGCTGACATTTGGTGGCAACCCTACACCCTTTAATAAGTCTGTTCCGAGGCACTCAAGCCAAGGAAATTTTACTTACAAGTTATTCTCTACTGTAAATAGCTTCAGTGTGTGCGCCTGGTACATTGCTTGAGGCATAAAAAGAGTCTCCGCGACATAAGATTTTGATGCCTCAACATGTTAGAAGAAACAAGTCCGTACGTTCTGTCGCACCCGCTCTAACGGCCACCTGTCCTAGACAATTACCTTTACAAACGGCCTCCTACCTCTACCTCTCTCGAGTCATTTTTTCTATTTCATAAAACCATAAAGCAAAAATTCTATACAAATTGCCAAACCGGCGGAAAAGTGCCGATTTCTTCGATTTCATAATTTTGACGGGCGCCTGATTTCCCCACACTGCCTCACAATATTATAATGACACTGGCCAAGACGTCCACTGGAGTCATCACCGTTCTCCTCGACAGTGATTGGCCGTGTTGAACTGCTTCTACTACTGTAATTAGTTGCATGTCACCTTCAGAATGGAGAGAATGGGAAAAGGGGGCGAGGAGGGGCTAGAGCTAGAGAAGTCTGGGGCAAGACAAGGTAAAAGGGTGTTGAGAAAAACAGGGGGGAGGGGGCGGGTAGAATTGTTTCAAGATGTGAAAACCTTTAGCTGTAAATGGCTTTTAAGGTCAAGTAGATAGAGCGACGTAGCTTGTCGTAGAATGGTAGGGCGCCCGGGTAAGTGAATGAGGAATTGGGTGAGGGAAGAAAGACTGAGGTAAGGAATGAGTGAACGAGCTGATCAGTGGGTAGAGAGGGAGAAAGGGTGTCTGTCGTTCAGTCATTTGGTCGTGGCGACGTAACTTTCGAAAAGACGTAGAAGTACAACCGTGATGTCAGTGAACAGTAGAATGTTTCATCATTATCACGGTCGCTATAGGCACAGTCGTTCTCTCAGTAAACATGATTATCATTATCATTACTACATCAAGAATAATGACAAGATTATTATGTGCAGTGTATTGGAACAGGTTAAAATATCTCCAAAAGAGAATGTTTACGTAGAGTGTACCCAAATTCTCGAAAACCTTTACATGAGAAAATGGCTTCTCGAAGTGGTGTTTTTATCCACGTTCACTGAATATTTGCTTTCATCACACTTCTCAAATGTGGTGAACGTACAGACGTGATAAAGAATGAAAGATGAAGAGACAGAAAAAGAGAGAAGTCGAGAGAGATGAATGAACAAAAACGAATAAAAGAAAAGTGCCCTCTGAAGGAGGAAGAGGGCATGGCGTCAGGATAACAAAGTCAAGATGTGAGAGAATGTTCGTTGAAAAATAAATCCGGAGGGAAGATGTAGACGACCCGAAAGAGCTGCGAGCGCTCTATAATCTTTGTCACTGAACATTGCGCAATATTTCCCTACCTCAGAATTACAACGTTCTGTCTACTCAGAAGATTTACCTAGTTTTGAGAAATTTGACGTTAAAAAATGTTTAGTTTCACAATAATCGTATTTCAAGCTTTTTCGAAAGCCATTCTTTGTATATCTTGATAACAAATAAGAATAATCTTACGATTTTGATAGAGCAGATTTCTGACATCATGGTCTTAGTAACTCAAAACGGCCAAAAACGTCAGATAAAACTTTGTAATTATGAGGTAGCGATTTGCATGTGCCTCATGTGCCTCTAACCAGCAAACATGCCCTGGTCCTCTTTTCACCTCGTTCTATACACATCCTTTGTTTATTCTTCCTCATGCCGCCAGTCTCATATTGTAGATAAAACGTGTAGCGGCAGAATCGAAAATAGAACGAGCTAATTCTGTTTCTTGTCGCTCCTGTCTTGAAAACTAGGCTAAAACGGGATGAATTATTGTTTATTCTTTTCGTCTCCAGATGGAGCACGCGCAGCGCGCAAAGCTAGGAATAGAATTTTTGCTGAGACATAGCTTTTGAAATCAACTTCTTGTGTGCTTAAGAAGTATATGCTTTTGTGTTTAGCTATATGACGTCTTTCAGTGACAATAAATAAATAAGGTAAATAAATAAATAAAATAGTAAATAAATAAGTCTGCCCT